TTGGCTCTGAAAGAAGAGCTCTGAAGAGTCTCCTTCATGGATTAAGCACTGTAATGTGCACTTGGTGCTGTTTTACAATCACACATCTCATTTTGAGTGGAGATGTTCCAGTTTGTAATCAACAACTGCATCAGGCTAAGAAGTCTGAAACCAATCATCTTGCCTCGGTTTTATTGGACTAAATAATAAGGAGCTGAACCCCGTTGAGAGTCAGGGCTCTGTCTGGATTCTCATCAAATGAAGACATACTTCATTCAACAATATTTTTTTTTGCTAACACAACATGGAATTAGAACATAGAAAGGGGGAAAAAGTTGGAAGGAACCTCAATTTTGCCATAAAATTTCCTGAATGATAGCCACAGATTGTTACCATTATATGGCAGCTGTGAATGAAGTAACTTTTAGATGCTGGAGGAAGAGTTTGGAAAAGGGCAACCATAAAGCAGCTCCTCCCTTCCTGGGTGGAAGGCAGGATTTTAACTTCTCTGGAACAGCACTTTCAACCTTAGCAAAACGAAATACCTCAGTTACTCAGAATAAAGAAATGTCAAAATATTGGCTTTTTATTTCAGTTCAGGTGTGGGCTGGATAAGTACATTTGACTGACTCTAAATATTGTGGTGGAGTTGCCATTACATACTGCAAAAGGTACAGGCTTGCTCATGGCAAGGTTAATTCCTTCCTTTCCTATGGCTATGTTTGTAGCATTAATATCAGATAATGACAAATAATTCCATTAAAGGATATGCTAAACAGAAGTCTTTACTGTGACCGTGTTTTTTCAAACTTTTAGTTAATAAGTTGTACAAATCTTTCTGACAGAGAAGTATATTTGTAGTGATACAGATAGTCCAATGGGACATGTCTGTATATGCTTGAACTGTGCTTTCTATAGTGAAGACTGGGAAGTCTATGACTGCTGTTTCCAGTTAGCTTTTAAGTATTGATGCAGATGTTTAGTAAAAAAAGTAGTAACATTAGGAATTGAGTAAGATTAGAAAAATAACTAGGTAACCTTCTCTAAAAGGTGATGTGATTAGGTATATTGTTTTATACTGAGCTTTTTTTTATATAAACATTCATTTTACATATCAACTCCTGTAGAAAGTTGAATATTAGATTTACAGCAATTTAAGTGGCAGGTAGAATTATGTGAATGAGTTTGGAAAAGATGCATTCATGCTTCTTCTATTTCAGTGTTTGGGATTTAAGGTGCTTTTTTTTTTTACCTAGGTGCACGTCAACAGACTAATATCTGCAATGAATCCCTCATGTTAGAAAAATTGCCTGCCTGTGGAAAATCCTTTGAAGAGGTGATGAAGAAAGTAGACCGTCGAAAATGGTGTAATCTGACAGAGTTTATCATGTAAGAGTTAGTTTGGGTTTTGATACATTTGCATCTTTTTATGGTGATTGCCCTTTAATAAAATTGACCCCCTCAAATGCCAAGGACACCTTGACACCTAGTAGGATGTGTAAGTTCTCTAAAGCAGAATAGTTTAGATAGTTTAGTCTTTATTTTCTTCTCACAAGCCAGATTTGATAAATTTTAGCAATCCTGTTGAGGGAAAGATTTTGTCCCACTGGATGCAAAATGTTTGTTATAAAGTTTGTTATGAAGTTGATAAAAAGTGCTTTTGCCTTAGGCTTTCACTTGCCTTCACTTCTCTTTTCACTTACTACAACAGTGAAAGTCAGAGCTTTATGGATTATTAATTCTATTAACAATCCTTTCTTCTGGATTTTTGTCTCAGAGCATCTTTCATAGCAATTTATATTCAATGCTGGATAGCTATTTATCAGTACCTTATGAAAGCCATGATTTATCACTATCCTTAAAGCATGGAAAATGTTTCTGTTCCGGATAAACTGCTAACCTCCTGGATTAGATTCCCATTGCGAAGAGCTCTTTAAGTCCCTGTACTACAACCACATGCTTATGGAGACCCAGTTCTTGACTCTTAAGTATGCACAAACTAAACATGTTAGTGGAGATGAACCAGTTCGCTAATGAAAACTATTGGTATTGCTTTCACCTTAGTTGTGCTTGTATTTCATTTGTATTTCAATATATTCTATGCAAATGTGATTTAAATCGATCTTTTTTTCTGTGAAAGCACTAAAGCAATGTGACTCCAGAGTTACACTATCTTGTTTTCTCTATTGGCAACGATGTCATTTCCTTCTCTGATTTCTTTTTCACTAAGATTACAACAATATTTTCTGAGGCATGGTGGTTTCAGAAATCTACCTCTTGTGTGAAATTATCCTGTCCAAATGTAAAATTATCCTCTATATTGATGCCATTACAGTTTATTTCTATGTTTGCCAGTTAGCAGGGAGAGCGTAAAAAACACTTTTTCTGTTTGAATGACAGAAAAACTGCTAGACTTACAATAATGAAGTGTTATTAGTTTCCTATCTCTATTTTTGTTTTGTGTTGCTGGAGGTATTTAAACATCCTTCGCTAAAGCTGCAAGCTTCAAAATCTGTTCTGGAGGAAACTCCTGGTAATGTGAGCTTATGTTTTTTTTGGCTTCATGGAGCATCTGCTTCTTCAGAGCATGTATACTCATGCATAGTGCTTGGTTTTCGGAAGTGCTAAGTACCCTCTACACAAATGGAAATCAGAGGAAAATGCAGGTGTTCAGCACTTGAGAAAACTAGGGCTCAAGTGGATTAGCTCCAGCGAAATATGAGCCAGTCTGAAACAGAACATCTTCCTAGATTTGAAACTGCCCTGATGCAGTACTCACCTTTGGGACATCTCTTGGAGCAGGGTAGCCTCAGGCGGGCCTCACCACGCTGGTTATAATTTCTGTTAGACCCAGATATATCCTTGTGTCATATGAACTCTAATTGTATCCTCTGATTATTATCACTGTATGCTTATCATGGAGATTTTACCTGGCTGACCATCAGTAGGCACAACAGATGATGAAGCATTGTCCCTCTGTGCTGCCTTGCAACAGTACCCAGTGCTTCTCTGCTACTGACATCTGCATTCAGTTTTCCCAAATGTTGGTAGTTTTTCATGTTATCTACTTAGGTGCTATTGCCTCTTGACACTTTTATTTCCCTGTGCTGGATGATACTACAGCTCAGGTTTTAAAAGGTAGTCTTAAAACACACAGCTGTAGTGGGAAAGATGCATATATACATCTGTTGAAACATGGAGCAAAGCAAGACATCAGTCCTTATTATCCAACTGGGTGTCTTCTGCGCCCTAAGGATGATGATACACCCTTGCCCCTGGCTCTAACGCATGGCTGGATCAAATTTGACTGAGGTTTTGGGACCAGTACAGTGCATCGAAATCCTCTTCCTGAGAGGTGTGGAATGACTGAGAATGGGCTCTTTGGCCACCTTTCATTGAAGAAATTTGCCAGTCCTGCCCTGAAGGCTCATACATAAGTATATAATGTGTTTAAGCAATATAAATAACCGATTCCTGGCTATTGTACTCCAAATAATTTATAAACAGAGCAAACTCCTAGTTACTGCTTTCTTTTCTTGGGTAGCTAGCAAAAGGACCCAAAGGGCCTGTAGGTCTCAAGGGGTGTTATTCTCATTTTCCAATATTTGGTGAATATTATGAGATATCTTTTTCACCGTAAGTCTGAAGCCGTCTACTATACTCTCATGCTAGAAATTAGTGAAATCAAATGTTTGACAATGCGTTTTTTCCTCTTCTGAGAAGAGATTTAAGAATAGGGGGAAAAATGCGTATGTCATGTTCTTGGAAATGTTGTTAGTACAGAGCTGCTGAAATTCTCTTACTGTATTGAAAGCAAACTTGTTTCTGTAAGAGTGCAAATCCTAGAGAAAAAAAAAAACAGTTTTTGTAATACATGGGAAAACAGATACCACAAAAAAGAGGATGCAGATTTCAGAGTGCATGTGGAGCTGTAGCACAGCATTTGGTGTATTACTAATTTCAGATTTTGTGTTGTACAGAAATATTTAAATGACAGAGTCAGCTGTACTAGAGCCTACCTTTTCTATGATGATCATTGTAATTGAAAGTCAGCATTGGGAAAATTATTTCCCAGTGAGCTACCAATAAATCAAGAGCAAAATAAGTAATCCAGATTAACTCTTTCAAGGTGGAGCAAGTGACCTTTCACACAAGCAGTAGAGAATAAGGTCCTTGAAATGGAGAGCTGATAGCAAGTGCGCTGGCTATCAGGTACTGATAACTTCATGGGAGAGAAGTGAGCAGTGTGTGTCACAGCGTTGGTAACAAGCCATTAGATATTACTGAGCTCAAATGATTGTCTTTTAAAGCTAAAGGCCTACTGGTTAAAACTAACTATGTGTTTTATGGAAAAAGAAAGACCTGGGATTTCCATTCGCATTTTGCATGCGTAAGCTGTATTTATTCTATTTTCCAGTATTTTCTCCCTTCTATTGTGGCTAGAAATTGCACTGAAATATGAGAGAGAAATGGATGTGTACCATGAGAAGAAAAGTCATAGAATGCAAGTGCTACTAAATTTATGTAATAAAGATTTTAAATTAAATACTAGGTCTTACTAGAAGCAATATTTTTAATACTGTATGGAACACATCTACTTACAAGTTATTTTCCCAGTTTTGAAGGAAGGACTGCCATTTTCCCCAATATGATCTCCATCATAATTGTGTTATAATCATAAATTTGAATTCATTGCTGATAATCTTGCTCATACTGATAAGAATCCTCAACTAAGGGGATGACTGGCAGTACAGTCAAGGGTACTTACAAGAATTAAAATATTAGAATCTGCCTTTGCTTGACGTAGGTGAAAACAGAGGCAGTATTTTGCAAGCCTTGTGCTAAATTTGCTTTGAGAGTTAAAATACTCTTTTGGAAGATTCTTCCAATGTTTGAAGGTGACGGAAGTCTCTTGACTTCTCTTGACTTTCAAATAGTGTTAATAATTCACCTTGTCTTGTCCTTTCTGATCGCTTTTCCTTCATTGTGTCATTTTCATTCCTGGTACTAGAAAATTTCTGACTATTTGTAGAGATTATTTTGGCTGAAAAAATCTGCCAATGTGAGACCATTTGTTTGTTTGTTTATAGAAATGTGAAAAGAAAATGAAATATCTTTGGAAAAATAGTGTTCATTCTTCCCCATGTGCAGCACTAGGAAAACAACTCAACCTTTTCCAAAGGCTACATGAAAAATAATTACATGTTTTCATCATATAAAGGTGCTTTTTTTTTAAAAAAAAACTCTTTTCTCTCACTTGTATTTGAAATTCTGTTTTAGAAGAGGGAGAAGAGAGTGTAAAATTTGTTTGGGATCATGCATTTCTTGTCCAGACATCAAGCTTATCATAAAATTTCATGATGCTGTAGAATGCATTTAGTTCTATATTTAGGAATTTAACTGTGATAAGAACAGACTTTACGATTAGGCATACATACCTTATCTGATAAGTATATAGATTATTATCTGCCAGCTCACTGGAGGAACCCTGAGTGATGAGACTTTTTTTGAATACTCAGATTAATGAAGAATGGCAAATTCAAATATTAAAAAAGAAATCAAAGGAATTCAAATATTTAAGCTTGGTAGTATGTAGTCCATCCTGATTTTAGCTCTGGCCTCCAGTAGGAAAATCAGTCAGCTTGGAACAGTTAGGGGGATAAAACTAATGTAACTTTGTATGAAGTAATTTCTGCCTGGCACTCTTCACTTACAAAGATCTTTCTTGGAAAAAAAAAAGTATCTTATATCAAAATACAATTGTTCATGGAGCTTTCTTTTTGTAAAACTATGTGTTTGTGGAGAAGTTTTAGCTCTGCCTGCTAAATAGCTGTCCTTGATTGTGGAATTGTAAATAGCAGTTATCTGCTTTCTTTCACTGCTGTCATTAGATAGCTTTGGGTGACTTGAGTTTGCAGTAACTTAATTAGACTCTAAGCTTTTCTGACAGCTCTGTTATTTTTTTCTTAACTTTATTCTTAACAAACTTCAGGGCTAATTTTATTCTTTAAAAAAAGCAGCCTTTTGATTGATTTGAAGCAGATGATGCTGTCATGTATGGCAGCTAGTACTGAAAATCAATTTTTAGCCTCTACAATTGATCTTGGCCTTGCTAGAAATGTATATGATATATATATAATGTGTATAAATATCAGTTTCATGCAAATTTTTACAGAAGCACTATCTGGAAAATATTTCCATATTAGTATACACATAATATTCTCATTTTTTTGAGGAAATTAAGACACAAAGCCTCTGGATTAGATTGTGAAAGTATTTGAGAACTTAAATATTTTGAGGTCCAAGTGAGATTTTCCAATAATGTGGAGTCACGAGTTTTGGTGTTTCATGCTTGGTCACCAGAATATGAAGGACAACCAGAAATAACT